TATAAGCTCTTTCAAGATCACCAAAAAGACACCGACGACAAATCTCGCTCTGAATGCCCCACCACTTCAATAACTGATGAAAGTATTGAAGAAGCGAAACAAATGGTGTTAAAAAATCGTCGAATCACTATTAGAGAAGTGGTTGAAGACGTCGGTATCTCTGTTTGTTAAAATATAGCTTCCTTGTCTCCTATATATATGTGACGCATGCGCGCGCCATATGTATGTGTGAGAGCGTGTGTGGAAGGATGAGCGCGCGTGCGGCCTGCGCGCCGCCAATTTTTTACTTCGATGATAGACGCCGAGCTGTGAGCAACTTTTGTAACGAAAAAATAAAGACCTTTCACTTTTGTGCCTCAAATTGTGTCTTCATCAATAACACCTACATTCCATCACTATTGGCTCGTGCCATGCAATTTTTTCCGAAGTTTTGGCCATGATAGCAACAAACTGCTTAATTTTAAACAAAAGGACCGTCGAAAGATCGTCGCTCAAGAGCTGTTAAACGACGTCAATGATGATCCTGACATGCTCAAAAGAGTCATAACTGATGACGAATCATGAGTTTATGGTTATGACGTCGAAACTAAAGCCCAATCGTTCCAAAAGAAGACTCCAGAAGAGCCAAGACCGAAAAAAGCACGTCAAGTTCGATCAAATTTCAAGGTTTTGCTCACTGTTTTCTTTGATTATCGTGGCGTAGTACATCAAGAGTTCCTACCACAAACTCGTACGGTCAATAAAGAGTATTACCTTGAAGTTATGCGCCATTTGCGAGAAGCAATACGAAAAAAACGTCCCGAATTGTGGGGAAACAATTCATGGATTTTGCATCACGATAATGCACCTGCTCACTCATCGTTGCTTGTGTCGAACTTTTTAGCCAATAACAAAACCACAATCATGCCTCAGGTATCGTATTAACCGGATATGGCCTCCAACGACTTTTTCCTGTTCCCAAAACTCAAGAAACCCATGAAAGAACGAAGGTTTGGAACGTTTAAGGAGATAAAGAAAAAATCGCTGGAAGAACTCAAGGCTATACCAGAAAGTGCATACCAGAAGTGTTTCGAGGATTGGAAAAAACGTTGGCACAATTGCACTATATCTGAAGGGTATAACTTTGAAGGGGACAACATAAATATTGATGAATAAATAAATATTTTTTCATAAAAATAAAAATTCAGCTTACTTTTTGAACACACCTCGTATGTTAAATTACTTGATTCATTCGCAAACTTTTCCTCTCTTTGGTATTTAGTTATGTGAATTTTGAAGCTTGGTTTAGCTTGCTTAAACAAAAGGAGTCTGAATTCAATATAAACATTGCATTTGTACCGTATCTCTACACTGCAATGTTACATACTAACAAAAAGAAACCTTATTAAAGACGGCTGGATCGACCTCCAGTAATTTTCTATGACAGCTGAACGAGCATTTATTTTTTTCCTTTTCTACCGAATTACATGGCTTAATATATTTTAGATTAAAATAGAACGAAAATTGTGAACACATATTTCTTTGTGATAGATAATATTTAACATGAAGACCGTATTAAGTTATTTGAATGAAAGACAAACTAACTTTGGTTTATATTTAAATTATAATATTTATGATCACGTTCATTTATTTTATGTCGTCGTGTAAAATATAATTCAATTTAGAATGCGCTAGGTTTTTGGTTATTTTATATATTGAGTACATTATTTATTACAATAAAGAAAATACTATTCTGTTAAACTGTTTAGAGTTAAAATTAACAAACTATCTATTTCGGAAATAATATCAGTTGAAAAATTATGAAACGTAAAATTGATAGAATTAAATATTAATTTTATCATTAGCGTTTCTACTGAAAAAAATCATTTAAAGCCTTATTAGGTTATTTACTTTGTTTGAATGATGAAAACGTTAAACTAGTAACTCAAAATTGTGAATTTTACGATAATCTATTAAAGGCTCGTAATGAATTGCGCGAAAATATTGAAACTTAAGAAAAATATAAAAGTCGTTGTGACAAAAATCGATATATTAATGTGAATTATAAAATAGGAGGAAAAATAGGCAAATTTCTAAAAATATTTATATTAGTATACCTTGCTTGTATTGAGAATGCAGAGTTTTCAAACCTTTTTATTAATATTATTACTTGTTCATTGCATAAAGCATACAAACTTAGAGTGTATTACGTACCTACAAGATATTTTGAAAAGACTCCTTTTAAATTATACTTAGAAGATTTAAAAAAGATGATTTTTTAAATCAAAAGATTGCATTATATGCCAAATCAAAAACAAAAATTAAAATACAATGTTCTAAGGTCGAATTGATGTTCTTGCACGTTTTTGAAGTCGTTTAATCAGAATATATGGGGAACAAATTAGTTATAAATGATAATAGATGGACTTTTTTCTGTTCCAGAAGTTCTGCACAAATTGATCAACCCAAAATATATTCTAATATTTTTACTGTACATAATGAACATTTCAGATTATTTTTTCTACACGTGTTGTTTAATACTAATATGATGTAATAAGATTTATTGAATTATATTTTGTGTTTTGTGCATTATAATCTAATAAAAGTATACAAGCTTCTTGTTCTCATTGACCTCATCGAAAATAAGCAATGGAAAGTTAATAAAAACCTATTTAAGACTTGATTAAGAATTATTTGGTACCTTATACCCTACCCCGTCTAATTGTTTTCAGTTTTTCACGAATACTTTTACGTTTCCAAAAAATGAGTCGCTATACGACTCACAAAAAAATATACATATATATTTTAAATATGTTTTACGAAAATAGTACGTTACGAGAAAAGTGCGGGAGAGACCTCGCTTCGCTCGGACGTAAACGCCTCAACAGACGAGAAATTCTTTTTTGAACATGTGTTATACCGTATTTTTCGATACTATGTGTGAAAACTGCGATTTTTAAAGCACGAGCGTAAGGGAAAATCGCAGTTTCTACACATAGTATCGAAAAAAAAATGTTTCGATACTTCATACGTAATGTACTTACTTTCCGCACGCTCGATCAAAAATGTGCGTTCTAAAACGAACTTTTAACACAAAAACTATATATATACTACAAAAAAAAATATATGTATTAAATATGCTTTACGAAAATAGTACATTACGATACAAGTGCGGGAAAGTAGATTCTTGTCTCATGTGGTGTTTACGCCCGAGCGAAGCGAGGGTAGCAAGGTACACGAGACGAGAAACTATTTCCTGAACATGTGCCGTACCGTATTTTTTGACACATGTGGAAAGTGCGATTTTCAACACACATTTTCTGCCGAGCTCAAATAAAATTTTTGATAGAATTTGCCTATATAGTTTTTATGACACGAAATCCAGTAACACCTGGAGAATCAAAGAAATTACAATATGTTTTTGGTAGAACATTGGTTATTGTAGACTGATAGAAATTTGTCATAGCGACGTTTATAAATTAAAATTATTGAATCAATTTGGAGATCATGGGCAGGAAATTATTGCGCACGTGTCTTGAAGAAATTTGGACAGGATTTATAGGAAATGACTTAAATTTTGAAAATGACGATAGTTCTGAAAACAAAAATTATTATATATAATTCTAATATTGATAATTTAAAAATTAATTATAATGTAGAATCTGAAGAAAAAGTTTTAAATGCAAATGACGTTACTACAAATGTTTATGAACCTGAAACTTTAATTGAGGAAATTAAACAATATGAATGGACTGCTCGATCTAAAAGAATTCGATAAAAATCCGAAGTATTTAGAAGATTATACTGTTTAATAATTAATGGTAATAACATTCTTTCTAATAATTTTATAATGAATATTTGGAAACCAAACATAATTGAATGTTATGTTTTTATTAAATTAGAAGCACATATAAAAATAATTTATTGGAACTAAAGAATTACAGATGGCCTTAGTGTACAGAATCTTGGAGGTATAAAAGTATGTGACAGTGAATATTAAGTGTAATGGTGTGTAGGTATATAGAAATCTTAAGGATGCTAATCGTCGAAATTTCTTTTTTAAGTAGTGAGCTACGAAGGTTGTGTATTATTCTTTTAATCGTTAATTATTTTTCTCCTATGTTACAATATTTATTATATTCTTATTTAATATTAAATAAAATTCCATCTTTCAAAGTTTCGTTTTAGACATGTATTAAAATTTTTTTAACATTACCTTAAAAGTAATGATAAGAAAAGTAAGGATTCCAAGTGAGAACCCTGCTATTTAGTACTATTCAATTGTTTCTATTACCATCCAATCGGCGATTGAATATGGGTATTGAAAAGGGAATCCAAATGGTTCTCATCCAATTCAAATTCCTTTATGCTAAAAGTTATTATTGAATCTAATTGTATTAAATACATTTGAATGACTTTTATCTTTTAATGCCTATCAAATGTTATAGAAATTAATGTATCTTTGATACGTTTTAATCGGTTTTAATAGTTTTTGTATGTTTATCGATTCCAATGTCAAATTTCTTTATATTTTACCAATCAATTTTTATGCATTCCAATTTTGATAGCTTTTTAATTGATTGTAATGTCAAAATTATTCATATGTGTGTGTGTAGAACATTGTTATGTTTTTGCAAGATTGAACACAATACCGTCGGAAAAGATCCAATATCTCCCGGGTATACCTTCGATTTTATTTATATAAGCAAGATATAGACTTGACGAAAAAAAAAATTAACCCCGACGCGTTAATAATCCGTGTTATCGCATTGTGTGATGACACAAAAGAAAAAAAACGGAAGAACACAAACTCACAATTCCCTGTAACTGCTCCCTCAGTTCAGCGATCGGCGAACTGTACCGGAGCAAATGCAAGGCGAACAAGAAAACAAGAGAAAGAGAGGGAGAAAGAGATAGAACGACTAAATGGAGAAGGAAAATCATGCGCTGCTTGTTATTGTGGATAGGAATTGGGGACTAGTCGGACTGAGCTGAAGTTCGTAGTACGACTCAGGCTCTACTTTAGTGCGGAGCATTCTATTGTTGAACATCTAATTCTGTGAATTGCAATCGGTTGAGAAAACAAAATGTACATTGCAGTTGAGTGATTCTCAGCCATTGTTAAACATTTATTCTGTGAGTGAATTAAGTGCACTGAGAGAGTACAATAACCCATAAGTTATCAGCGCGAATAAATTTACAATCTTGGAAAATCGTCAGTTTCTACTTGCTAAAAATAGTTGAACTGATAGTGGCTTGAGACTGAACTCAGCTCTCTCTCTCTCTCTCGTATTATCAATACTACTGTTACCGTGTTGCTATTGATGCTGCTACCGCTCTCAGCGCTCTTACCATAGCTCCGTCTTTCTCCGACTGCCCGTATATAAAAGCTAAAATGGTGAAAGAGTAAGAAGAGGGAGAAAAAGTGAGAGAGAGAGAGAGAGAGAGAGAGAGAAAGAGAGCGCGAGAAGAGGAAGGGAGGTAACCATGAGTGTTTGCATTGAAGTGCCCTCAGCCTGTTGCTAGTGTACTTTGTTTCCCGCGTGTGTCTTACCTGCTTAAGTGAGTGTGTGCGTATCAGTTTTTAAGTGCATAACGAATAGAGAAAAACAATAGTCAGTGAGTGATTAACACGAATATTAGTACTAAGAAAAATAAAGAGCATGTTCTTTGTATCTGCCAACATGAGAACTATACTGCAGAGCTAAATGTTTATGCTTATTATCATCCAATGCTATTGCGTGCCTTCATTTTCTGCCTGCCTCAAGTAATACTGTAACAGACGCCTCCCAACCAATCACCGTCTACCGTAGTCAGCTGTCTTTGCAACCATGTTCCATGCAGCCGTAGATTGCAGGTAAATCTGCTCACATGTATTTATAACAGATTTCTATGATCAGAAATTTTTGTTGTATCAAAACATACAATCTAGTATATTACAAAATAAATTATAACACCGATACCGGAGTTTACGTTTGCTAAAATCTTTATGTTCAAACTTTTTAAATTAAAATACGATAGAAATCTAGATTAAACATCACAGTACCAAATACTCTAGGAAGACATAGCTTACATTGTTTTCAATATTTTAGTTTTAGCCGCCTGTTATTGTAATTAGTATTTTTAACTTCAGTCCTAAAATTAAATATCAATTTCATGTACAAGCTAAAGTTTGTATTCTCTAATAATCATTAAAAAAGATACAACAATTTAATTTTCATAAAAGAATCCGCTTTTTCAAGCAAACAACATGGACAATATTTGATAATTTTAGCAATTTATTATCAGTGACAAAAATGAACGAGCGGTGCAATGCATTATTACCAATCGAAAAATAGATTTGGCTTGGTCTCGTCTCATTTTATCTTCTTGTATCAAATATCTATTTTTTCCCTACTAAGACATTTTTATTCAATAACTATGCAAATGCTATGCAATTATGCAAATGTTATCTTTTATGCAATATTATTAAAATCAACATAAGTTATTCTATATTAAAAAGTATACGATTTATTTTTATAGATTATTCGTTGTTATGTGTAAGTAAGTTACACACACGCGTATCCCTTTTCATCCATTTTTGCCTATTCTTTTAGCCCTTGTCTTGATCATTTTTAGGTTGTTTTTTCTTTTATGTTTTATAACATTTTATATTTGATTTTTTGCCCATTTATCCCCTTGTTTGCCCCTCTGGTTTTACTTTTGTTGCCCCTTTATAGCTGTGTTTTACTGTACATATTTTTTTTATACACATTTGCTTATTGTTTTAAATTTTTAAATATATTTTTTATTATAAATGAATTTATTTAATCAAATATGTTTTGCCCTTTAATAGATATTATATTGTTTATATACTCATAGTTGAGTGAACAATAATGAAATAATTAATTAATTTCAAATTTCGAATTATATATATTTATTTTAGCTAAAAGTCATAGATACCACCATTTTTTAGGCTATGTGCGCGGACTAATTTTTTGTATCGATATTTGAGAGAACGGTAATGAAATTATTAATTGATGTAATGAAAATTGTATTGATTAGTTCAATAGTCCAATTATCTTCACAAAGAATGTTTCAATTAATTGTAAAAATTTATAAAATTGTATTTATAAAATTGTAATTTTATAAAATTGTTTGCAGGACGATATTAATACACTTTGCTAGAGAATTTCGAATTCAATGTTAGGGAAGCTTAGCAAAAATTTAAGACAATGTTGGTCAATATATTATCAACATTTTTATCTTATTATTATTCCCAAATTATTGAATTAAGAGAATAGTAAACTATTATATTAAAATATTGATCAATATTTAAAAAATAAGAAAATGAATGTTGCAAATAGCTATATCTTTCAGATATATTTCAAAACAGATTTATTGTAAATATATCATACATATTTAATCAAATATTGTGTAACAAAAATTATTATGCAAATACATGTTTACAGAGTCATGGGTCTCAATAATGAAAGAAAAATTATTTTTAAGTACTATCTAACAAACCAGAAGAAGAAATATTTTATATGAAATAATATAAAATATTTCTGATATATAATATATAATATATGTTGATAATATGAAAGTATAAAAATAAAAAAAATATGTTAGTATAAAAATAAAAAAAAATATGTTAGGATATCGACATTATATCGAAAGATCAACAAAAAAATTACTATACGTTGCAAGATCAAAGAAAATAAATAAGTCGAGATATTTTCTCAGAAATGAATATTATGTAATATTTATGTTTTCAGGAATTATAATCAAATATTGTATAAAAAAATTCATTACATATCGATACCATATCGAAAAATCAAAATATAAATGTCACAATATCTTCGGAGAAATGAATTCGTAAGATTTTTGTTTTCAGTGTCTCATGAGAATACTATTAAAAAAATGCACCATTACATTTACCTCAGTGGAGATGAGAAATAATATGATGGATTAAATTGTAACGTATATCGGGAGTTAGCGATCACAGTGAACAGGGTGCGAAGCTCTACTGGTATCATCCTATATATGTAGGGATTGGGAATTTTGGACCCCTTAGTCGTTCACATTTTGTGCCTTTTGTCCTTTTGTACCACTTTTTGCTTCTTTATATTATTTATGATTTTTCTAATTTTTTTTTTTCATTTTTATTTTCAGTACAAATTCTTAAAAATATGAACGAAGCGTAACATCATTGATGTTCTATTGTATTTTTCTATAAATAATATTATTGATGGTAATAATTAATTTGTTAGTGTATAGATGGTATTGTGTCACTATTATTTAGAAATAGTTTCAAGCGCGCTTTTCGCGCTTATAGTAATATTCAATATTCAATATAATATATTATATACATAAATCAGCAATTCTTTACTTTGAAACACTTAACTTACCTCGATATCAATAGATCAATAAAAATAAAATTGTGTTGATATTCGTCGACTTAGCAATAATTTCAAATCAAATAACGTAACAGATTTTTAGGCGTTTAGCTGTAAAGTTAATGGGTAGCACACCAACTTAATTTTTCCTTTTTCAAATAAATAAAACCATTAGCAACGCTTTATAACTTAAATTTCTTTATTTTTCAACATATTGATACCATAGTGTTGCATTTTGAAAAAAAAAGTTATAAATCGGTTTCAAAATGTATGCGATTAGAGAATAGTTCTTTTTTTAAAGTAAAGCTTTTGTGATTGTCTTTACTTTGTGATATCGGGTTTTTCAAATTTTGAATTATATATATTTATTTCAGCTAGCTGAAAGTCATAGAAACGACCATTTTTTAGGCTATATGCGCGAATTAATTTTTTTTATTGATATTTGAGTGAACAAAAGTACTTCCCAACTCTTCAATAGTACGGTAAAACTCTAAAAGACAAACAAATATTTCTGTATCAGAACTAAAACATTTTTTTTCATAAAAATTTTTTTTTTTAGTTTTATCTATTTCTTGCAATTTTTGCAATTTCGATATCTTTCTTACTTATATATGGTGAAAACATATTATATAAACATTAATCTTTACTAAATTTCCACATTACTGTACATAATTCAAAATTAAATATGAAATTATTTTAATATATTTTTATTTGCTCATTTTTGTGAAAGATCAAGTTGTAACATAAGTAAACATTTATTGGACATATATTTTGTGATATAAACAACAACTAAAAATTTTCCAAACAACTAACAAAAAATAGATATTGTATTTTATTTAATACACTTTATTTAATAATTTTAAACCCTTATACATGAAATATATAATACAATATTGTAAAGATATGAAGAATAATAAAATAAATATTATTTTAGACAGTAACAGTTAAAACGTAGTTAAGTGGTACCAGCAAATGCAACCAATTTTGCCGCGATCACATAGTACCATACCATTCTTCAAACGAGCTGCTCGCGGCTAACTCGCAGGTGAATTGCTAACAACATAAAATTCTTATACGGTCCGCGAAGACAGCAGGGTTCACTCGTCTCACGTTCACCCGAAGGATGAAGGGAAATAGGACGTTAAAGAAACGACTAAACGTACACAATGTGGTAGTGTTTATTTACGTTAATTGTCCATTATAAACGGCGGCGCGGTAACGTTTGCCGCTCGCCCGATATCCGAAGTTCCGTCGAACTTTGTCACAATGTATCATTGTTCACTTGCGAGAGGGAGAATAACGGTGTACGTATTTACGTGTGGTTCGCTATGTTTTGTTGTAGGCAATGTCTCTGTTCTGGTCTATTCTCTTGGACGAACGCTCCGTTTTACTTCCGGACATGCGTTAGTTCCGGAAAGATTGTATCATCGATATGTGGTCCGTCGGAGAAGGCTTGTTTGGAATCGAGCAAAATTTAACTTCGTCGTCACCTCAGAAGATCGTCATAAATCCACGAACTACATTTCTCGCATAAATTAAAGGAACAAAAAATATTTCTAATTTTTTTAGCAATTTTCAACAGGCTGTATTTCAGTGATTATCTTACAGGAAATGAACAAAAAAAAATAGCTTTTGAAACTTGAAGACTAGATTTCGAATTTTTCGGAATACTTGTAGCCATGTAATTCTTGGGTAAAACACAAAAAAAAAATTTTTCCAAAATTTTTACCTTATTATTTTACTCTACGGACATGAAAAATTTTTTTTAAGCTAGACCAATGCATAGGTCGGATAGCCTGTTCATTCAGCTTCAATTTGCTTTTTGCGGGAGTCAGATACGATCATTTGTCTTTGAAATATCGAATTTTGAAAGCAAAAGGATTCTTTTTTACTCAACTGCCGATATCTCTGAAACTACTGATCGCCCAGCGAATGGACAGGCGGTTTCGTTTTCTGCAGAAGTTTTCCTACAAAAATCTGTTATGGTTGAATGGAAAAAATTTTTTTCCACCTGTAACGTTAACGTGAAAAAAGAGCAAAAAAGTTCCAATTTCCCTTTTTTTGGTTGATCGTTTGTATCTTTGGCAATATTGGGGGAAAAATTTAGGCAAGAAAAAAATTTTACAATCTAACATAATCCAAAGACCCCCCTAAGTTTTTAGATCGATCGGTTCATCGGTTTTCCTGGACCGATTGATTGAAATTTTGAAAAAATTACGGGAACATGATTTTTGTTCCTTAAACTTGACTTAATCTTTTTAAAAATGAATAATTTCATTCTTTTATAATTTTTACTCAATTTTGAGTTTTCTGAAAATTGATTAACAAAAAAAAAATTTTTAAAAAATTTTTGAGAAAATTTTTTTTATAAATTGATAAAAAATTTGAAAAAAAAAAAAAAAATGTTTCTCACGTTAAAAAAATTTCCGTAAAATTATCTTTAAAAAATATCCAAAAAATCAACAACAAAAAATGTAGA